CTAAATATAGAAGGGATACTCCAAATTTGAGCTCTTAATTGTTTGTCGTTTCGGAGAAAATTACAAAATATTGATCAAATGTCCCGTCACGCTTTTTGTCCCGTCACGTTTTTTGACAGTAAAACTGATAGTTTTCCACTAAAACAGAAACAAGCCTAGATATATCTTATGTGAATCGAAAGCTCTTTGAAAGCCTCATCTGATTAGATGTGTAAAATCCAGGAACTATCTTCCTCCGCATTTATCTCATTTCTCATGCTTTTCATGAAAATCGGCTGTTTTGAGGAGGTACGGCTTTTGTTTTACGAAATGTCGGCCATACTTGATAGTGGTAGTGAGACAACTGTCAGTCTCGTTTATTTCTTGAGTAGTACTATCTACCTCAATACGCAGAATCATTCTAGCGAAAAATGAAATTTTTACGAAAAGCTGAAGTCAAATGGTACAAATGGCTTGCAATCGTCTCATATACTTGACACACTAACCTAGAGGTTATATATATATTTATCTAACAATGGAAGGTCGCGTACTGTAAGTTACGGAGATTGACCATGTTTTGGTCAAATGACAGCTCTCATCGCCAAATTAACAAATTTAAACAGGCAATACATGCTGATAGTTTACCTAGAGAAAGTTATTCAAATTTCAAAGTATATGAAATTTAGGTATAAAAATGAATCAGAATAGTTTATTTTTCCACTATTGTAAGGACAAAATATAGTGTTATTCGGGCTGATTAGGGGTTTGGAGGAGCTCTCTTTCATATGGTCCGAATAACACCATGTTTTGTCCTTATAATAGAAAAGTGAATTTTTTTGGTGGCTGATAGAAAACGTCGTTTTCTATGCGCTACAGGAAATATTCACTCTAATATTATAAGGATGGAATATACTGTTATTCGAGATAATCTGGGAGTTACCATGGATGCCTTTTCATATGACCCGAATAATCCTATGTTTCGTTCTTATAATAGTAGAGTGAATATTTTCTGTAGCTCATAGAAAACGGCGTTTTCTATCAGCCACCAAAAAAATTCACTTTTCTATTCTAAGAACAAAGCATGGTGTTATTCGCACCATATGAAAGAGAGCTCCTCCAAACCCCTAATCAGCCCGAATAACACTATATTTTGTCCTTACAATAGTGGAAAAAACTTTTCCTGATTTATTTTTATACCTAAATTTCATATACTTTGAAATTTGAATAACTTTCTCTAGGTAATCTGTCAGCACGTGGTATTTAAAATTTGTTAGTTTGGCGATGAGAGCTTTCATTTGACTAAAACATAGTCAATCTCCGTAACTTATAGTACGCGACCTGCCATTGCAAGATGATAGAATATATTTAGGATGCATATAATACAGTTCGCATATACCTCAGTGGTGACGCTAAAGAAAGGAAGAAAAAGACCAAGAGAAAACATTGTAGGAAAATACGTGTCAAAAACAAAGAGAACGAAAGAAATAGATAAAGACGACAAAGTATACGTCTGTCAGGAAAGAAAGAGAACCAACGCACATATGTATAATACGACACATCTCTCTTATGGCACATCTTTCGTATGTGATATAAAACTGGATAACTGAATCATTAGAAACCATGGAAAATGATGTGAACCAGCTCACTACGGCACATATTCAGTGAACGCTCATAATCTATCCTGCACAATTAGGGTGAAAAAAAGAACTATTAGTTATGTCCACTTTTACAACATTATTATTAATAGGAAAGCCATTTATTCGTAAACTCTCCTCTATCTGATGATTTGTTATTTCGAATTGAAGACTCATTTCATTGACTGAACTGGAAGTCCTCTTTTTGGACGAAGTTAACTATTTTGCGATGTTCGATATAGTCGATAATCTATCTTTTCTATACATTTTCCACGTTCCAAGAAGAAATAAGAAGATGTTAAAATATAATGCTGTTCCTTCCAGTAAAACTGGTTTCCTATTGAGACGACATATGATAGCGACGTGCGGTTTGCGTAGTTTTATAGAGCATGATTCAGGCTATCGTATCGACTTCTGAACAAGAAACATGTAATGGAAGTTATGAGAATGACGAAGTTTAAGAAAAGCCTAACCAAATAACCGTGCCTATGTATGATACTAATCCTTTGGCTTTTATATGGAATTGTTGCCCAGATCCTTCTCTTTCGAATGGTGAAAATCGCAGCTCTCTATCGCATTCCTATCAAAAGTTATTCGAAAAACAGTAACTTGCCTTTTATTTTGAAACGGACAATAGAAAGAGTTTGAAAAAATTCAATGAAATCGATTGAAATGCTTATCAATGATAATAGGTAGATAGATAGATGTTGAGATATAAAACAAATATGGCTTGATATATGTTCAATCTTTTAATGATCGTTGTTTAAATCAGCGATAAACAAGACATTTCGAATGATGATAGATATTCTCAAAGCATGAGTTGCTCAATTCGAGTTATACTATAAATGAGACTTAAACTGCATTAGATGAATTCGAAAATAAACGAAAAAATTAGCCCGGTTCCTTCATCTAGGAGAAGAAAAAAATTTTGAATTACAGGTTTATAAATAAGGGAGCACCCCTGTTAGTTTAGTTCCAAAGAAGTTCCAATTATAATTGGAATGATAATACTCTGAACGAGACTTGTCCTGGTTTATTCAAGTTAGAATAAAAACGGCAACAGACGAACATCGTATACAATCGTAAAAGGAGAACTCTCCAGAATTTCAACCAAACTGTCCGCTAATGCTGGAACGTCTTCGAATAACATAACTTGAATATATATACGCATCCCTGTCTCCGCAAAAATAGATGAGGATTATCTGAGGGTGACTGGCATGTGATTATGGTTGCTTACAACGTGCAGCAAATCATACAATAAGATCTACCCCATCGATTCATCACGATCGAGGATGAACCATAACTAACAACACGATTAAGTCCTTGCACAGCTTCGAACAAACATTTGTGCAACGCTTTACCTTCGACAGCCATTTATAGAACATAACTGGACTGGGATCACTAATTTCCTGAAATTTTATGGATCAATGAAATGGTGGGAACAAATTAATTATAGAACCGGTTGTCCGCTGACATATGTCCATTCACTGCAACATCGAAATCGATTCAACAACTTAGTATTTTAGTGCGAAGGCTACACATCTCTATCTATGTCTCGGCGCGTAGTGTCTTGAAGGGCCACTCGAAGAGCATCGAGTGGTAGCGTCTCTCTGTGGTAGCATTTGACTGTTGCCACATTTAAGTCAACACACGAATTCACACACCCTTGTCTTCAAACAAACACTAACACATAGTCGTCTGATGTCGACGACGAAATGAAATAACAACACATACGATAATGGCGAACATAATACGCATCAATATATATCAATATATGAGGACCTAGACAATCAGGACATTCTTCATGACAAAGCCGCTTCACTATTGATTCATCGATACCATTCTTACTATTCACTAGGTTTATTAATAATGACCTGCAAAAAGAAGGAGTATATCAAATGCTGCACGATAAACTAAACACTTAAAATCCGAGAAACTTTGAACATAACGAATGGAACGCCAAACGTCGAGAACACATGTCGTACTAGTTGCTATTTATGAATTGAAAACAATTGAAAGCATACCTTTTCGGCAAGGTAAGACTTAACTTTCCGACCAGCATGCAATGAAGCAGTAATTAAAATATAAATGAAAACTAATATTTCGACTACGTTAGAAAAGAAGAGTTTCCTACCTGCACCATATTCTTGCAACACATATATTTAAAAAAAAACGTCTTCCACCACTATCCGATTCAAAATCAAAGTTTGATTTGTAATTTCAATAAAGCAATTTTTTACTATCGTCACAGGATTACCCTATCTCATTTATATTTCGAATTATAATTCGAAAAAAATTTTTTTTTACTAAACTAACAGAGTATCGCTAACGTTTATAATTTCGATTTTTTTTTTGTTTTAGTAATATAGGTGCTGGCGCTTTTTTTTCGAAAGTTTCATTTATATTCGAACTCGAATTAGACATCTACTCTCTCAAAGCATTTATTTACTTTAAATATATCTTGAAATAAAACTAGAAAAGTCACAAAAAACTTATCAGTAAAAATAATATATATATATAGGATTTATTCTCATTAAAAAAATCAATTTGAATGGATTTGTCATATGTTTTAATTGTATAGCGAGAGGCATCTATGTCACTATGTTTCATTTTATTTGTTGTTCATTAACCAATTCTTTGGATTATATATTCAATGAAAAAAAAACTTGTAATAAAATCAAATCATTCAAATGTCGTTATCATTACGTCCATTAGTTGGTATAGGTATAATTGTTGTTTATCCTGATCGTTATCCTGATAGTGTACTTATATCAGAACGTTTATCAAGTCATGGTAAAGGTTGTCATCAATTACCAGGTGGTCATCTTGAATATGGAGAATCATTTGAAGAATGTGCTCAAAGAGAATTAAAAGAAGAAACAAATCTTGATTGTTTATCTTCTTCTTTTAAATTAGTTCATGTTACAAATACAATTTTTTCTCAAGAAGAGGGACAATCTAAACATTATGTTACACTTTTTATGAAAACAATTATTCATGATGATTCAACATTAAAATGTATTGAACCAGAAAAAAATTCAAATTGGATTTGGGTTAAATGGAAAGATTTAAATCAAATGAAATTATTTGCTCCACTTAAACAAGCTGTTGACAATTTGAATTTTAATCCATTTATTGATTAAAATATTTAAATAATCAAACAAGAATTTACTAACTAGATAAATACCTATTAGAATTATTTTACAGACATAATTAGCATTCTTAACTATTTATATTTCGTTTTTTCTAAAATTTGTTTTAATAAAAATAGATTTCGAGAGAAAAAAAAACAATTATTTTATTTTTATTATGATTATTATTATTTAAAGATTTGTTTAACATTAAAAAAGAATAAATTAAAATCGAGCTTTGATATAGATAATAACTAGAAAATTAATTTGAATTATTCTCATATTTTATATCATTTATTGACAATCTTAGAAAATATTCAATAGAAAAAAAAACCAAGCATCAACAGTTTGCTATCAATTCAAATGATTAGCATCAATTTCTTTTTTTTTTTCTATTGGTTTCATTCAATATTTATTTTCCGTAGAATAATTCTTTAAAATGATTAAATTTAAGTTAAATATAAAAAAAAAGTTCTTTAAGAAATGTTTGAGCAAAAAAAAAACAAATTATACATTGTCAAGTTTCACTTTATATTTAATAAAGATATCAAATTTTATATGGATTTCAATGACATTTTAATATTGCATCTCTAAAGATATGTTCTAAAGGAAAAGAATGATCTAATTATCAGTCTTTATAATAGAAGATTTATCGTTGTATAGAAAACATCTGTTATTTTATATCTAAAGTTTATTTTACACATTGATCTGTAAAAATGTTCTTGAAAATGTTTATTCTTATGTCAGTTAAGATGTCGAACTCTGTTTTGACAATATTTGCTCGATTTTATTCTCTTAATAATAAAAAGTATATGTAAACATTAACTTTGATTCGATAAACATAGTTAGTAAGTTGTTTTTATTTATCTTCATTGACTTATTGACGATATATATATTATGATTAATAGGATTTTATCAACTAATATTCTCTATCAATTGAATATATTATTATTTTAAATATTGAACTAAATTCCCAATCAAAATCAACACTTTAGTCGAATTGATTATAGTAAAAAGATAAAAAGTTTCATTTACTTTTTTGTTTACTTCACTGATTATTATCGCAGATTGATAATCGATAGACTAATTTTAATCTAATCAATCTTAGAAAATGTTTTCTATTGTTGTTTGAATACATTTTTCATTTGAATTTTGTTTTATCGAAACTAGATTGAATATTTTCTTATTATAGTTGTAGGAGACTCGAATATTCAAAACATTCGACAATAACAATAGTTACAATGACATTTATAGATATATATTTCAATTAGAAACTTAAAATAATATACTGACTATTTAATTATTTAAAAAGTTAAACGAAAATTTTTTCAAATTGTTTTAAATCTTTTGATATTATTCTATCGAGAAAACCTTTGTAAATATAACGGTTTGTCCACGTAACGTGATACTTCGCTGATCAAGTTTTGAAAAAATTTTTTTTTCGAGTTGAACAGATATGAATCAGTAACTAGATGAAGTTTTTAACGTTGAATACAAATTTGACGTTTATTTTGTACAAAAACAAAACAAGAAGATTTTCACATGGAAAAAAAGGTTTTAAACTTTTCAAAAATCGTATTTTGAATTTTTTAATCAAGAAATCTTTTAAAAAAATGCTGAGGAATATACGATTCTATATAGAATTTCATTTTCTATAAAATGACTTACTTAGTTTTGACTTTCGTAACTAAGGACAATTGTTTAGATTCTTATGCAGTTTCAAACTTACTCTTCACTTTATGATCTCTTGTGTAGAACAATTAGCTGCAAAGAAAATAATAATACTTATAATTTTCAAATCATTCTGAGCATGTTAATCGCCTCAAAATTACTCGACAAGAAATTGTGTAACAGTGTTATGTTTGGTTTTTTGAATTTTTCATCTTAGCAAAAATGCTTTAGAGAAAATCTTTTTTACTGTCTAAAAGCCTGTTCGATGCTCTACAAAACTAGTTCTACGGGTATGTCATTTGGAACAATAGTTTCGAAACAAATTTGACTTTTCTCGACAAAAACTTCAGAAAAAGGGTCTTTTTATGTAAGAGCGTTACGCAATGATAAAATCTTTCTAGACGTCCGAGTTTTCAGGAAGAAAAAAAGGTTGTTCTTGTAGGTTAAAAAGAGCTTGATGAGCTGCATCGAATGGTGTTTGAACGAACTTTCTAGCTGTTAAACTTTCCGAGATAATTGAACTATTTCGATAATATAATAAGTTAATTAATCAAATTGAAATTTATTTTCATTAATTATAAAGAAAAAGAAAAAAAACTTGATGATTATCTATTCTACTAATCTCATTGAAATTTGAAAACAATTTATCTTTGATCAATTTTTATTATACCGACATAATATCATTATTAATATAAGTTCATAATAATATATTGAATAGAATGATCAATCAGCCTTTTTTTTATCTTATTTTAATCTCAATAAAAGTAACCATTAATAGTTTATAATAAACATTATTAGACATTTCCATGAAAAAAAAAACAAAAGCAATTAGTTATTCAAAAATAGTAAGTAAATTGACTACTCTTTATTCGACTATTTTATGTTTAAATCAATTTAAACATATTCAAATTAAATAAAAATCTTTGCTCAAATATTTTCTTGTTCATATTATATTTAATAAATAAATATTCAAGATGTCTTTCATTACTATTTATATTTCAATATTAAAATTTATATTTTAATATATTATATTTCAACGAAAAATCTTATTAGTGTACTCAAAAAGTGAGTACACTACTAGAATCGGTCAGTGTGTCCGGCCGTCCGTCCGTCCATTTACACGATAACTTTAGAAAGGAGAATCCGATCACGATGAAATTTTCTACACAGTTCAGTCTTTAGAATATCTCGGTCGAGTTCGAAGATGAGAAGGATTGGCCGAGCCGTTCCTGAGTTATTGCAAAAATACCCATTATCCCCTATAGCTTCCTCTAGAAAAATCGACCCGTCCCCGCTTTCGTAAAAGACTTTTCCTATCATAGTCAATTAAAACCCCAACTATTATATACCATTCGATAGAGAATTTCAAGAGCTACAAAATGATATATAAAACATAAAGAAGCAAGAAGGTTGACTCACCTATCACAAGGATACTAAAAGAGAACTAGGTTATATTTTGGTCCGCTATCTAATTGATCCACAAACAGAGCTTTATCTTCCGATCACAGTAATGATACTTCGAGGTTTTCAAAGATGGAGAACTCGAATGTGTACTGCACTTCCATCGAAATACTATTAGTTGCGCAGTGACCAATAGAAATGAAGTTATAGGAAAAACGACTTTCATAGGGTAAATCAAGGGAAAGAGTTCAAACTTGAGCTGTATTCGGTCCCAAGTTCTATTGGTTTGGCAACGCGCAATAGAAATCAACATTTGAAATGGTAGGTTCCCCAGTATAATTTCATGTTCAGACATTCTAGGATGACTGATCCGTATGATTCACTTTTTGAAGTACACATAACTCTCGGATTTAAATCCGAAGTTTCCGCATTTATTTTATTATTTAAAAATCAATCGTTTTCTATTTTCAAATTTTCCTCAAGGACAAATAGACATGTCGAAATAGTCTTGTTTTCATAAGAGAATACATTGAATAATATGGCTAACTACCAGAGATGTCCATCGCGGCTGAAAATCTGCCGCTGCCGCGCCGCAGACTTAGAAAAAAAAAAGCTGCCGCATCGCAGCCGCGCCGCGACGGTTTCTAAAAAAACGTTGCCGCGATGAATTATAAAATAAACGTGCCGCCGCCGCGCCGCTGCCGCGGCGGTTTACAAAAAAGTGTTTCTAATTTCACTGCTGCGACTATATTTGACCAGAGATATTGGTACTAGTCCATCAGATTCATTCAGTCTAGGGGTGTTTCATTTGTAAACCCTGAAATTCTATTAAATTCATGCAGTTTTTCAATGTTCCCCAAAAAAATCCTGCCGCTGCCGCGGTGATTTTTTGAAAAACCTGCCGCTGCCGCCACCGCCATCGCGGCAGCGCCGCGATGGACATCTCTGCTAGCTACATCGTAGAATAAATATTCTATTTAATATTAACTTTTCTATTTTAAAAGCATTTTGTTAGAGAACGAACATTTCAATCTGATTGATACATTAATAATATAAATTATCATAGAAATCTATTTATATGATATTTATCTTTAAATTTCATTTTATTTCAAGTAAAGTTTGATGAAAATGATGCCACTAGACTACATATATATATGTCGCAGGAGAAATTAAAATTCAGGAAAATTTAAAATTTTCCTAGGAAAAATTAAAATTTTAATTTCTCCTAGGAGAAACTAAAATTTCAATCTTAACTAGATATTTTCTAGGAAAAATTAAAATCTTAATTTCTCCTAGGAGAAACTAAAATTTTAAGTTTTCCTATAGGAGAATTTTAAATATTCCTGAATATATAATATCAAATTTATTACTTTTATATTTCAAAAATACAAAGATTAAAGTAGACATTTCAACGTGGTTTCGTTTTTTGATAAATCATATTTAGTACCACATTGTATTTTTGCTGCTCGAGAACGACATTTCTTTGTTGAAAAGTGCCATTACAATTACATGCTTCAGTGAGAGTAATTAATCCTGCACTCACATAAGCTTTACAGGTTTGAATGAACGTCATTGCTAGTAAAGCTGTTGAATCGACATCATGTAAGTCACGAACGTTACAGTTAGATAAAAATTTAATAGATCTAGTGGTTGAAACTGTGAGGAGATTATACCTGTTCACACAGAATTTGAGCTAAGAATGTCCCTAACCATCACGGAGAAACAAAATTATATCATCATATAGTGATTGTTTTATAGAAAACTTATCTTGACACTTGTCATTTAAACCTTCGGTATGATTATCAAGTAATTTATAAAACTGTTCCAGGGACATAAGAGCGTGAGATTTGACTGTCTACTCAAATGATATACTAGGCGTTTAAGTGAACATTTTTATTTGCTTCTGATTCTCTATTGATTCTACTGGACGTAAAAAATATTCTAATTTTTCCCATAGAAAAAATTAAAATATGAAGTTTATTTTATATGTTCAGGAATATTTAAAATTCTCCTATAGGAAAAATTAGAATTTTAATTTCTCCTAGGAGAAACTAAAATTTTAAGTTTTCCTAGAAAATATCTAGTTAAGATTGAAATTTTAGTTTCTCCTAGGAGAAATTAAAATTTTAATTTTTCCTAGGAAAATTTTAAATTTTCCTGAATTTTAATTTCTCCTGCGACATATATTTTAACAAGCGATTAATATCAATGCGATAGATGTCATTAGAATTAAATTGATCATCTAACTTTATTACAAATAAATAATTTAATAATTAATAAATCTAAATGATCAAATTGATATTGTGTTAATATGAATTTTCGATTATGTCTATGATGTAAAGTGCATTAATATGTATATCAGAATATCGATTTTATATGAATATGATGAATCATCAATAATAACATATGACATATTTATTTTACTTAATATAGATGGTTGATTGGTTGGTTCGTTGGTTGGTTAGTTCGAAGTAGAGGAATATGATCGTTCTATACGCAACAAATAAATGATAGAATAAAAAGAAAATATGTTTTTCAATAGAGAACAAAAATAATAATAAGAATATAATAAAAGGTTTTTTTTTTCTTATTCGATTTAAAGATTGTTTGTTAACTTTATTTAAATAATGGTTAGTCTTAATGAAAAAAAATCTAAAATTCGATATGTTGTACAAAACAAAACTGAATGGGTTGATGGTAAGTTTTATTACTTTTTTTTCTTTTGTTTTTCTCTCGAATATTATATTTCGATATTTTATTTATTTATTTAATTCTTATATGATTACTCTTAATTAAGGATATTAACAAATGTTTTTTTGACCTTTTTATCGATCAACGGATACTTTTTTATTTTCGAATATATAATGCTTTTTAAACTGTGTGACTAATTAGAAAAATCTATATGAATATTATCTTTCAATATGAGTTTAGAAAAATAAAACACTATATTATTTTCTTTCATTCAGTATTATATATATATGGGCGTCGACAACCGACTTGGTACCCCATTTTGATACACTCCTATTCTAAGGATAAAACATACTATTGTTCGGGTCATATAAGAGAGGATCCTGTACAACCTTGGATTGGCCCGAACAACACCATGTTTTATCCTTACAATAGTAGAGACAAGCTATCAGCTCAAAAGATAAGCTCGTAATTTTTCCCTACTATTGTAAGGATAAAACATGGTGTTGTTCGGGTCAATCCAGGGTTATAAAGGATCCTCTCTTATATGGCCCGGACAATAGTAGGTTTTATCCTTACAATATGACTGTATTAAAACGGGGTATCAGTCAAGCTTGCAACCCCCATATATATATTCTTCAATTTTTCAAATAAAAAATTTCAAGAAACTCAAATACTTTATTATGAATAAACAATTAAAATATGATTTATAAAATAATATATATTAAATAACAATCGACTTTGATCGAAATCTATCTATTGAAATTTCTCGAACAGATATTCAATTGTGTCTTAAACATTATTTCTTGTTTTTAATCAATTGTAATAGTTAACAATACATATATGTACTTTGTTTTCCTTTCGTTCTTTGGGGTTAATGTCCTCAAAGAACGAAAGAGAAAACATACGAATCGTTGTTAATGTTATGTGTCTATGATAGAGAGTGATGTTATACTTCCATGTTAAGTACATACAAGTCAATTTGACCTATATAGGAATCATATATTCAATATCGTATATGTATAAAGAGAATTTTTTCGTTTTTTTCTATTTAATTATGAAATAAATAGATGGAAATAAATTTGGTAAGAAAATGCTTGAAAAAATGGGTTGGAAAAAAGGTGTTGGATTAGGAAAAAATGAAGATGGAAGAACAGAACATATTGATTTAAAATATAAAGCGAATTTAAAAGGAGTTGGTTTTATAAATGGTCAATATGATTCAACATGGATAACACATTCACAATCATTTGATTCACTTCTTAAACAACTTAAACAATCTCATCCATCATCTTCTTCACCGTCTCTTCATGATTTTAATCAAACTGTTCAACAAACGAAAACAAGATTTACGTTTGTATTTCATATTAATTTATTTCGATAAATAAATATAATTGGTTTTATCTTTTATATTTAGTTATAAAAAACAATCAAGTGGAAAAGATTTAAGTTCAAGATCAAATAATGAACTTGATTGTATATTTGGTTGGAATAAAACAAATAAAATAAATATTGATCAAACAAAACAAGACGATTATAATAATGAAGAAAAGGTTTTATATTTCGAATTATTTTAAATAATAATAATAAATATTTTTTTTATCTTAAGAATATTGAAATAATATCAGATAATCTTTATAAAACAAGTAAACAATCAATTCAAGATTATTTTAAAGATAAATCAAAAAAAAAGGCTCAACATCTATCTGAACAATCAATATATACAAATAATCATCAGATTAATTCAGGTTACCTTTACTTTTATTTATTTAATATAACAAAATTAAATATTATTTTAGTTTTTTTTTAAATAATATTTATCAAATTGAAAATAAAAAACATTGATTTTATTCAAGACTTATTTTAATTAATATTAACATCTGACATAGATAAATTGATTATAAAATAAGTTTAGAATAGATTTTGAATTTAATTCTAAGACGTATATAACAATAGATTGAATTGATCAAACTCGATTATTTTCAATTACTCTTAACTATTCATTTTCATCGAATAGATTCATTAGGATTATTACAATATATTCAGTTTTTTTAATAAATAAATAAATAATGATAATAATATTATTTTATTTATTGTAAATTATTTCTTAGATTATATTTGAAAAAAGAATTTCTGTCGTTTTTTTTTGTTCGATTAACTCTTGAAAATTTCAATATTTATTCTTATATTAAATATATCTATTAAGAGTTTTTTTAATTTATTTTATTCTTTATTAAAACGTTTTTTATCTTAATTAGATAAAATCAGAATTTCTTATATCGATACTTGTTTAAATATTGTCAATATCTTTAAATATAAACAGATAAGAAGTTAATCATCATTTATACATAAAACATATTCTTGATTAAGAATTTTTTTTGTTTTGTTTGATAATATTTAAAATAAAACTAATATTTATCATGTTTTAGTTGATCAATGTTCATATTCTGAAGAAATTTTAGTAAATGATTCAATTAATCAATTCATTGATCAACAAATTCAATCGAAATCTGAAACAACTTCGGAAAATAAAAGAAAACATCATAAAGGTTTATTTCATTTCATTATTTTATTTTTTAATTATTAGACTTTTTTTTCTTTTTCTTATTGAAGAATCAATCAATGATATTGATCAATCAGATAAAACAAATAAAAAGAATAAATCTATCATATCAAGTAATATAATAAATTATATTTATTTTTTGTATTAATTCTATATTGTATATTAAATTAGATATTGAAGATCTATATAGAGGTTCAAATATATCAGAATTAGAAGGATATCAAGGTTGGAATATTGATTCATCTTTAGATAATATTATTAAAAAAAAAGATAAACAAAAAAAACGACACAAATAACATTTTCTTTTCATTGATTATTATTCTAATAAATGAAATATTTTCATATTTCAGATATAAATAATTGAAAAGAAAAAGAAAAAGAAAAAAAAATGTTTTGTCGTAATCATATTCTTAAAATCTCAAAACGATGTTATTCAAACGAATCTCGAATAAATTCATTTATTAAATCAAAATTAACGACAGCTGAAGATGTTGCAGAAAAATTTCCTGAAAAAGTAACAATAGGAGCATCTGGTTTTACACCAGCTGGTTATCCAAAAGTAATACCCGGTGCATTTGCACAAAGAATTAAAAATTCTAAAAATCCAGAAAATTTTTCAATTAATTTATATACTGGTGCATCAACCGGTGATGAACTTGATGGAGTTTTAGCACGTACAGGACGATTAAAATTAAAAATTCCTTATCAATCACATTCGGATTTAAGAAAATTAATTAATCAAGGAAAAGTTAATTTTATTGATATGCATTTAAGTCATGTTAGTAGATATATAAGAGAAGGAATATTTCCACCAATTGATGTTGCTGTTATTGAAGCTTGTGATGTTACATCAGATGGAAGAATTTATTTAACTAATTCAAGTGGAATGAGTGGAACTTATTTAGCTTTAGCTAAAGATATTTATATTGAATTAAATGAAGCACATCCATTAGATATGAAAGGTCTTCATGATATTTATTTACCTGAATTACATTCAGGAAGACCAATTAATATTGATTATGTTGATGATAGAATTGGTAAGTTTACTTTATTCAAAATAGTTTTATTTAAATCATTTATATTTAAATTAACGAGACATTTGTTTTCAATTAGTCGATTTATATATTGACTAAGAATATGTTTTATTTAGATTTAACAATTATAATAATAAACAATAATAAGTAGTTCAATTAGAGATACATTCATTTCAACCCAATTTGAAGTTGATAGTTAACAAAATACGTTTAAAATAAACTTCCGAAACTATCAAACGAATTGCTGTTTATTGATTGATTATTTAAAATAATAACATAGAAATATTTCTCATGTATAGAATGTATATGTTTAGAGATCATTTAGTACGCTCATATTGACTTTTTTCAATCATAAAAGACCTTTTCTTTTTGTTCCATTCGTTTGATTGTTAGATATTTTGATAAATATAATACTTTTACGATTAATTTGTAAATATATGATCAACAAACAAAAACAAATATCAAATGACTGTTTATGTCAATATAAGAATAATTCAGTTGTTGTTTTATGACTTTGTATTTTAAAATAAAGGCTGCTGTCTAGCTAAAAAACAAATGTTTTGATCCGAATATATTGTCTAATAATAGATTTAATCTAGACTGGCTAAAGAGTGAATTGAATGTAAAATATCCTTGTCAGAATATATTTGATTGTTATGACATCGACTATCGAAAGGTGAAACGATCACTAGGATCCTCACATTCCGAATCATCGTAGTGAATTCTCTAAAATGATTATGTTTCTACAAAACAAAAGGCAATATATGACTTGAAGAGGTTTATTTTATTAATTGTCAACCTTTTAGAATATTTTTAAGAATAATAGATTCATTCATAAGCTGACCTTTTTATTAATATAATATATGAGAAAGATTCTAATTGTTGATTATTCTGTATTTAAAAAAAAAAAACTAATTTATTTAAAAGGTACACCATATGTTCGTGTTAATCCTGAAAGAATAAAAGGAATTGTTTTAACTAATAAATATGATTCATCTCCAGGTAATTATTTATTTTATTTATTTATTTAATAAAAAACTTAAATAATTAAGGTTTTAAAAAACCTGATGATGCAAGTTTTAAAATAGCAAATCATCTTCTGGATTTTATTCTTCATGAAGTTGAACATGGAAGTAAGTTGATTAAAATCTTTTCTTTCTTTTTTTCTATTTATAATAAATAATAAATATAAAGGAATTCCAAAACAATTACTTCCATTTCAATCCGGTGTTGGAAATGTAGCAAATGCTGTTTTAGCTTGTATAGGTATATTATCAATACTTTAGTTTTTGTTTTTTTTATTAATTATTTAATTCTTAGCTCGAGATAATCGTTTTAAATCGATTGAAATGTATACAGAAGTAATACAAGATTCAATATTTGAATTACTTGATAGTGATAAACTTCGTTTTGCATCAACAACAGCATTAACTTTTTCTGAAGAAGGACAAAAAAGATTTCATAGTCAATTACATGATCTTAAATCGAAATTTATTTTACGTCCTATGGAAATATCAAATAATCCTGAAGTTATTCGTCGTATGGGTCTTGTTACAATGAATACAGCATTAGAAGCTGATATATATGGAAATGTTAATTCAACACATGTTCTTGGATCAGCTATGATGAATGGAATTGGTGGAAGTGGAGATTTTACTAGAAATGCTGTAAGAATATATATATATATATATTATTTTTAATAATAATTTATATTAAATATTTTCTTTTAAATAAGTATATATCAATATTTATGGCTCCGTCAATTGCTAAAGGTGGAAAAATTTCTGCATTTGTTCCAATGGTATCCCATGTTGATCATAATGAACATTCAGTTCAAATAATGGTTAGTGAACAAGGTTTAGCTGATTTACGTGCTAAAACTCCAAAAGAACGAGCTCAACTAATTATTGAAAAATGTGCTCATCCAATGTATAAAGATCAATTAAAAGATTATTTTCAACATGCCCAACGTGTTTCATTTGGTTTACATACACCACATGATCTTAAACAAGCTCTTTCATGGCATGTTAGATTACAAGAAACTGGTTCAATGCATCCTGATCATCAAAAAATAAAAGAACCAATAAGTAAAGATACAGAAAAAGCAGCACGTAAAATCGATCAAACAGCAGCACCGAAGAAATAATTATATATTTATTTTATTCTAGTCAATTATAATTGTAGTGTTGTTTTAGACGTATTAATATAATATAGATTTTATTATTATTTTTTTTGCTTCATTTTTACGTAAACAAAAAAAAAAAAATATAACCCTCAATAAGCTGTCAACTGTATGTGCTCAACTTCATTTAATAAACATAATTTTATTGATTCAGCATTTCATTTTCCTCTTGTTAATTTGTACAAGTCATTATCAAATCAATTTATATACTTTTTTTTATTTATTAAATTTTTAAAATGTTTAGAAAATATTACGACGAATGAACGAATAGGAGGTATCCGAAAATCAAAGAACCTCGATATATATTCGTAGAATAATATTTATTTTATTGTGAGATATCAATTATATTCAACTGTTGATTATCTGTTAATATGAACATGATCATCGACTATGTTTATCTATTCTTTCATAAATGATGATATGATAGAAATTAAGAAAAATAATTTCTCTTTGAAAATGATAGAATCTTCCTTATTTAATCTTTTTTTCAATCCGTTTAGATAAAAATAAAATAAGTGTAAAATAACTTTTAAAAAGTCTAATAGTGTGGGTCTTGATACGCTTATAACGAAGCTCATATAGATGGTTGACTCAGTACATAAGAGTAGATTATAGGAAATGAGAATTCTGGATTTGAGAAATTGTGATATCGTAAGTTTGGAGGAGCTGTTTTCTTTCAAGCGTAGAATCTGTTCGTGTATTCACACAAGCGTCTTTTCTCTCCTTGTTATTAGTTTATTTGAAATTTTAGTTTTTCATTATGATAACATGATTTGTGATAGCTGTTGAAGAACAATATAGCGAATATTGATGAATCCGAATAAATTCAATAACTAATTTATTCGAATCAATTGATATATATTTCAATTTGTTCGACTTCGTTCGAAAATTTTAATTGAACGTCCTCAACTAATAAGACTTATTCACACAATTCATCCATCAATTTTCAGTTACTGATGAGATTGAGTAGATCTTTCGTACTCTTAAAAATTGCTGAGTATCCTTTTATACTTTTGTGAGATCTGATGAGTTGCTTCAGATTTTTATGGACTATAATGACTTAGTCCATAAATAATTAAAATATAACAAAATCCATAATGATTTTCTATTGAAAAATTTCTGTTTTTGAAAACAGAAACTTGTAAAAAGTTATATTGACAATTGGTTTTTAAGTAAAGATTCTTTATGAACATGGTATTTTTAATCAATCTACGACAATGAATAACTATGATAAAGACTATTAAACAATATAAAACAATTGAAAAGATGTTCAAATCCAAAAACAAAACTTTATTTATTTATTTTTTTTTAAACATTTATATAGAAACAAAAAAGATTCATTTTAAACAGCAATCATTAGCATAATATCGATCTGTATACGCAAAAACAATCTTTTAGTTTTGATATTATGAAATAAACTGATCTCAAACTACATTGACTTTCATTATTTTAAATTTTGGAAAAAGATTTAAATTATTGTTATAGATAATAGTAGGAAAATTTAAAGAAGTAATCGATTTATATTTAAAAAAAAAGAACAATAAAAGTAGAATAAATCAAATCTGTCACCAGTTCTATAAAGTAGTTTGTAGGACCATTCAACAGAAAATAATTTTCATTTCTTCAAAAGAAAATGCCAACGAGTAAGAAGTTCATTCAGTGAAATTAGAGATTTACTCTATCCCACGTAGAACCCTGATATTGAAGTCTTTGAAAATACTTTACTCAAATGTATTTTTTTTTCTCGTTCTATAATTAATATATTTGATTGTTATGCATCAATCCTAGTCTTTGGTTGGTCAACTATCTATCGAAACAAGGGAACTTACTCAATAGATTGATTAATATCAACTTCAAGTAATAAAGTACGATATTTTCATTTGGATTTTTTCTCAGTTTAGTCAACAATACTTTTATTGGTTTTTATTCAATTTAATGATTTACTTTGAGTGTTGATTTCTAAAAAGATATATTCATACTTATATGAACTTTTTCTTATTGTTTTATACGAAAAAAATGATTAAATATAATGAAATTTTAATAAAATAATATCAATATAAATATATGTCGGTGACATTTATCTATTATCGTATTCACTTTAGTCTTTTCAAATTTTCATAGTAACATTGTCAAACAACAATTTCATGTTAATAGTACATTGAGTTAATTGAAGAGAAAATTCCTGCGCATTTAATATGAGAATAATTGGACTTGATACAGTCAATTTGTGCACCAGCTAATTTGTTTCATCAATGTCAACGCGCTAACGTCAGAAATGAAGTTGCACCCACAATCATATCGTCTTCAACTGTTATAATTAATTAAAGTATAGAATTGTTTGCTTTTTTTAATAAATTCTATAGATATTTTTATCTAAAAAGAAAAATATAATAAATTTTGATAGATGATTTATAATATAGAAGAAAATAAAAAGAAAATGAAAAATAATTCTAAAATAATATGGTGAACTATATTGAAAAAAACAACAACAACAACAACAGGAAAGAACGAATGTTTTTGTCGTTTAAGTATTAATGAACTACTTTAACTTTCTAATCTATAAATATTTTAATCTATGAATATCTATGAGATATTTTAATACTTTATTTGTATGAAACGAAATATTTAATTAATCAACTTTGCATCTCGATATAACTAAGAATTTATCAACTGAAAAAAGATTAATTGTTTTTCGAACGAAATTACTACTGTTCAGATGTCTCTATTCATTTATGAGAAGATCATGGATGTTTATTTTTTATTCCAATTCGGAATTAGAAAGTGATAAAGTCTGTTTTATTAATAGAACATAACGCATTAAACTGTGCGCTAACAGAGACCATAATCTCGAAGAGACAACCTTTACTTTCATTTTCATCATCAATTGACTGCTAGAATCAGGCTTGCTAAATTTTCTGATTTTTAGTTTTTTCTCTATTTGATTGTTGGCGACATTTTGAATCAAATGAGAGAAGAAAAAAAGAGAACTATTTCGGAGTCTAACGGTTACAGTAAACAATAAGAAAATACCTTTCTTCTATTTCGTTTTTCTCCCACTAAAGTTATCAATTATGCTAAGGAATTTTATACAAAATAGTTGTTTTAACTGAGAGAGTAGGATAGTATATGCGATGTGTGTTCTTGGTGTTCGTCACAAGAAGATGATATTAATGAGGTATCTAACTCATCAGATAGTAATTTTGCTGCACAATTTGAATGACAGATGCTAAACGATACTATTTTTGTTCCATCAAAAAGTATTTTACAATTGATCGTAGCTACTTTATCATCATAATCAGTGAATAAACGATATACGTCAAAGTTCAAAAAAAGAAATTGTTGTCAAATCCTATCTTTTCTATATTTTTACGAAAATGTAACAATGAACCAACAAAAGCATTCTATATTGTTTATAATATTTAGTTCTTTATACTAAACAGTAGAGTTAGTGATATTAATTAATATATGTAAGCAAGAAGACAGCAAATATATGCAAAATCAGCTGAAGCTAATCTATCTAAGATTTGTCGTTATCGATTTTACTGGTAAAGCGTATTTCTTTGTAATTGTTTTCTTAGAAAAACTATTGATGTAAAATATAGTATAAGTCTGGTAGTATATGTACAAATAATCCGATGATGGAACTGTTTCGAGAAAACAAAGGTGAAGAAGATAATTCTAGTATTTGCTAATTGTTAGCAAAACTAATGAGAGAGATTTTAAACGGTTCATTAACAACAAATATCTGCGTGTTCGATTGCGACCAAGGACAATAATTGATTGTGAAGACAATGCGATAGTAACTGTCATATCGACTGAAGTCAATGTTGAGTGGAAGTTCAACATCGATATGTATTCGACTAATATTCGATTGAAAATTATCTGTACTAGTAGTGTCGACATTGAGTAGAACGACTGTATTGACTAATCAAAACCCAACCTTGTTCATTTGTCGTGTTTAGTATCTGTAGATTATGACTATAAATGCGACTACAATGTTCTATTCGTTAGTAAGAACGATCGCATACGGGACGACTGTGTAAGAATGATCAATCAGAATGTTTTTATATTTTACGATTAGAATAATGTAATTGTTGGCTATATCGAGTCTAGATAAAACACATTTGATTAGTGTTATTTTTCGCGAATAAAATCATCTATTAACATTCTTTCTCTGTTGAATTTGAAACTAAATATATTGTTCTTTGGTTGATTAAGAATGACATTTAATAGTAAAATCTTCCGTTTAAACTATTGCTGAATATGAATAGAGCAACTTATGAAAATAAACAGTGATAATAATCAATATGGATCTATTACTGATACTTTTCTATGCTCGTTCCATACCAAATTTGACCAATTCTAAAAGGTTAAAGACACAATGACTTTTGTAGAAGATCAATGATTAAATTGTAATTTCTCTCTCTCTCTCTCTCTCTCGTATTTTTCTCAAATAATAAATGTCACAAGAATATCGTAGTAAAACATGTTCATATGCAAAGAAACAATGTTGAACATGATAGAAAAAGTCTTTCTTATTTATTTTACTGTTTTGACAAGTTTAAAGTTTGACTAATATATTTGATTGAAATGAGAGGAAATAAAAACTAGTCAATATTGATATTCTGATTAGACTTCAATCATTTGGCTAAAGTTGTTTTGTTTATTTGAATTTTCATTTTTTCAAAACTAAACTCTTTTCAATGAATGAAAGTATTATTTTGCTAACTGCTAAATAATTGATATCGAAATGTTTGGATATATTTCTAAAATAAATAGAAAATAATATTGTTGTTAAATAGTTAAATTTGAATGAATTTCAAAATAGAACTCGAACAATAAATCTTCAGAAAGAATATTTTATTTTTCATAAAGTATTTGCTTAAAACCGATATAATAAAATAATTATTTTTATGAATGTTTTAATTATGTTAGATAAATATATTATTTTAATCTTTGTTGAGAATCAAGATGAAAAGCATCTTCAAAAACTTTTAATTTCTCGTCTGTACCACTAAGAAACCAAATTTGTTCAAAAACATGATATTGTTCAGTACCTAAATTAGTATTTAATGGTTTTAATAAAACTTTAGCCCATAATTTTGCAATAGTTTGTATTTTATTTTGAAAAGCTCCACATCCAATAGGACCTAAAATAAGATAAGTATTTTTTCCATTATCGTCACTATTTGCTTGTGCAGCAGCAATTATAGTTTCTAATTTTTTTTCAGTGTTCTTTTCAATATCTTGAGGAGAATTTGGTCTCTTATGTAAACCATGTTCTCCAGTTAAATCATAACAAGCAGCAGCAATAATATCAACATATCGATACTCATTTGGTTGATTTGGTTTAAAAAATTGAGCACGTTTTATATATAAACAACCAAATTCTGGAATCATGAAACCTCCATCAAATCGTTCATATTTAAAATCAAGTAAAGCGCGATATGCATTGGAATTATAACAAATTGTTTCTTCTTGTGTTGTAGCTCCATAAAGAAAAAGCCCTATCAATAATCAATAATCAATAATCAATATTATAAATATTGAAATAAAACAGATTTTACCGCCAGGCATTCTTTCATCAGCAAAATCTAAAATAATAATTTGTTTTTCAGGTGGAATACTAAAAATAACTTGTTGAATTCTTCCTTGTATTGTATTTATTTGACCTTTATTATGACGTTCAATAATAGGATATTTAATCATATTATCTCTCGCATCACTATCAACAAAACCACATGATTCATAAGTTCCGTGTGAATAAGGTATATTAGCTATTTGTGCTGGATTAAAATATACTTTTAATTGCTCAGGTGGAAAACAAACTTGTGTAAATTTTCGATTAGCTTTAGCTATTTGATGAATTTTACGTGACTGATTTTTTAATTCCCAGTACGGTTCAAATGTATCATCTTGATTTTCATCAAATTCTTTTTTATAAAGATCAATATTTTTTAACTGATTAATTTCATCTTTTAATCTTTCTAATATTTTTAAATCGATATAAGATGATAAATTCAATTCAGTTGATTGAAAGTTTACTAAATATTTAAGTGCTGCTTTACGACCTCCATGCATATCAACACGATATTTTTCTTGCGATAAACATAACTGAACAAGACTTTTTATATCTTCGGGATTTAATGATGAACAAGGTACATAGAGTCGTGATAACATTTTTTTTTAATAAACTAATTCTTAAACCCAAAGTAAATAATTGATAAACATCTATCGTTCGTTATACTATACTTCATGCATGAATTACAAATCACTATGACGAATAAAAAACAATAAGTTTATTTTTATAAGAAAATTCCTGTAGATGACGTGAAATTATAGTCATTTTATTTTTTAATTTGATATTAATAAAAATAATTGTCTATTGTCAACTAATATTAAAATGCATCTTCAATTCAGTTATGTCAAACTCAAAATCTCAATTCATTTATCGAACATTTTAAATCAGTCAATTGTTTGACGAACACCCAAACACAATAGAAATTTCTATTTTTAAACCTACTACTAGTTCTTAATATAACATATAAACATACAAACTTAAACAGATATGCTTGTCTGGTGCTCATTCATGCACTTGAACAAATTTTCAAAACTTTTCATAAGACTTTATTAGATTTCAAATGCAAAAGGTTATGGTATTTATCTTTGGACAACTAGTCAAGAAGAATGAAATTTGTCATATAATTATTTTTAAAATATTTTCAAACATAATGATCTAATAGTGAAATATGATGTATATGAATAATAGTCTCATCTGATATAAATTTCTTTTATTTGTTAAATAAACAAAAAAAATGTCTTACGAAATAATAATTGAAAAATCGATTATTAATTAATAAAAGTATGTTTAGAGATAGAAATATTCAAATATTAATTACTATATTTTAATCCAATTGTAGAAACCATATTCAATGAACTATTATTTATTTAGTGGAAGGCAAAATAATTCTTGTTTTGTTGTGAAAGAAATAAAATAAATTATTAAAGAATAAATATTTAATTTGTTAAGATATTTTTGGTTTAATAAGTATAAAAGAAAAAGAATAAAAATGTTCGTTAAATTTTTTTTATTTTATTTGTTAAATATTAAACAAAATGTTTGTTTAAAATGTTAAATTAAATTCGCAAATATTAATTGCTAATTGAAGACGAGCAGCAATATCTCCATAATAATAATAATAAGCTTTATTTCGTGAACATACTGAACCGTATGTTGATGGAATTAATTCCATTTCATATCGTTCCAAACATTTTAATGAACGTAAAAATTCTCTTTGAATAACAAAAAAGAAAAATAGTGTTATTTTGTTTTTTTTTCTTAATTTAATAAAATAAAATAAAAAAAAAAACTGACTTGCATTTTGTTGGAAATTTTTCATCAAATGAATAATGACATTTATTAATAACTTGTTGATTTATTGGTGATGGATAACAATTATTATCTAAACAATAATCTTATTTAAATTTATATTAAATAAATAAAAATTTACTATTTTCAACAGCACATGAACTCATTATCAATTTCCAATAAATTTTCGAATATTCATATGTATAAGGATATCGTTCAAATGAGCAAAGATCATAACGACCAAATATTGAATATAAACATCGACGATATGTTGAACTTTTATTATAAGCTCTAATAAACAAATAATTAATTAAAATAAAAATGAAAAAAACAAATAAGATAAATGAAAACAAACTTGCAAAGAATATTTCCATCCATAAAATAAGCATAATCAGGTGATGTTGTATCAATTGTTTCATCTATATTGTTTTTATAACATTTAAGCATGTGCATATTCACCAATTGATCATCACATTTTGCATATTGATTATATTGACCTTTATATATTAATATTATTTATTCTTTTTTACAATTTAATTCAACTTATTTTTAAATAAGTAAATATATGTTTTTTTTAAAATTGTTTGATCTATTATTATTTAAATAATATATAGATATTATATTACGTTATCCAGATGTTTCCTTATTCTATTAGTTAAGTGATTTATTTTCTCTTCAAAGTGTTCTTCAATCTAATAGACTAATATAATATATATCAATATCAAGTCGAAATAATCGATCGAATTTAGTTACACAGTTTAAAGTAAAATTCAATTGTAAAGGATTTTTCGAAATATTTTAATGGTGTTATTACTTATATTAAATAGAAAAGAGTCTTTTTTTTTCTCAACGAAATAAACAAATAAGATTCGTTAAAATATAATAAAAAGAAAAATGTTCATTAATGAACATGGATTTGCTAAGTAGCTTCATTAAATATTTGCTTGAATCTAATTGCTTTTTTTTTTAATGATTAACTGACATGTTTCTTACAAAAAAAATATAAATCGATTGTTGCAATATTCAAGTATTTTTCTTCATTTAAAATAAAGCTAATAACTCGATTTTAAAAATGACAAAAAATAAAATAATCTAATAAAAATAAACAAGGATAATTATCTTTTAGTTGATTAATCTAATCATGTATGGTTGGGTACCGCGCGAAGGACCAAAAATTCCGGGGGAGGGGGGGAGGTCAGGACGATTGGGAAGGTGTCAGAGAGTATGTTCGAAAAAACTCCGTAGAGATAATGTGAAATGTAGGAAAAACTGCGCACCTTTCGCTGGAAAAACATTGAAAATTCTCGATTATTGGGGGTATGTACACCCATCTATAAACCCCTCGCTTGCTTGAGGCCTGTGTATGGTATTACGTCTTACGTTTCGATGTATTTACACATTCGATTTATTAGATAAAAATCAATTATGAATATATTCTCTTATGATAAATCTTCCAAC